GCGGTTCAAGTGGTGTCCGAAGTGGTGGTTCAAGTAGGTGTCGCAAGTGGTGCTGAAGTAGGTGGCCCAAGTGGTGGTGGTGAAGTAGGATTCCCAAGTGGTGCCTGATTTGGGAATTTTCATTGTTACAATCTGTTGGGATAACTAAGTAATACTGGTTATTGTATTTGTACTACTGTGTTCGAATTTGGATAACTACGTAATACTGATTATTGTATTTGTATTACTATGGATTGAATTTTCATTGTTACAATCATTTATATATGTGTTTCAATTATTTATGTGTTTCAATTATATGTGGCATAAGAACATCTTATTGTTAATTTTACTTTACAAAATTATTTAAAAAAAAAGTTAATATATATGATTATTCTCCTACAATCACCTTAGAACAACCTTACACTTTAAAGACGGATTTGTTAATGTGATATACTTTATGAAGTGAAACTCTAGAAAAATGTGTTTCTGCAAATATGATAGTGCATAATCATATGAAATGTGTTAGAAATTTCAAAAATGAACTAGACTACTGAAAATTTATATTTTTAAGTAGGTATAATTGGTTAAGTAGGTAAGACGTCAAAAGGACAACTATGTGTTCTATTTGTAACACTGAAATACTTGGGATAACTATGTGTTATATAAGAAGCACATGTCTTAAATCGTGGCATAACGGCGCACACGTTGGTTTTTTTTTGATTTTTCAAACACATTTTTTTTTCAATTTTTTGGGGTTTTTATTTCAATTTTTGGGGTTAAAAAAAAGCGAAACATAATTTTTCCCAAATCGAAATCTAGAGTTTCTCTGCCCTTTCTCCGATTGCGACCACGAGCTCGAAATCGAGTATTTCTCCGCCATTTCTCCTGCCAATTCGTCAACAGCAACGTCTCCATAAGTTTAATCGCCCTCAATTTTAGTCAATTTAGCTTGTATTAGGAGGAATACGGATCTGAATCGCACTCAATTTTGTATAGAAAATGGGTAAATGGAAACGCATTGACATGTTTGGTGAGGAGTTCGATACTGGGTCCAACAACAGCGACTCATCATCTTCGGATGACGAACTCATCCTCCCCAAATATGATTATATGGCAGATATCACTCYGACTYGTTTTCCTCCGACTCCGGAGACATGGGAACCCTCACCTATTGGCATTCCGACCATATGTTACTGTGTAAAACCAGATGTGCTTAAGACTCAAACAATTGGGTTATTGACTGGTAAAAAATTCTACTCTTGTTCTGGTGATATTCGTGTAAGTCCAACTTATTCTATTTTGTGCTTATTGTTATCCATTTCGTGTTTATTGTTATCCATTTTGTGCTTATTGTTATCCACTTTGTGTTTATGTGATAATATGAAGGATGGAGATTGCCACATTTACAAGGAGTTGGCTGTTGCAATCTTGGAGGAGATTACTTTAACCAAAACCAAATTGGGAGAAATAGATCGCTTTTTGCAAGAGCAGAAGAAGTTTGAAGAGATGGTCAACTTTTGCAAGGATTTGATGATGGCTTGCAGACTTCATGCAAAGGTAGAGGATTTTATGATGGAGTTGGAGAGTTGAAGTGAAGAAAAGTTTATCCTTGTTCCTTGTTTAAGTACTTTTATTTTTGTTTAAGGAATCTTTGTTTAATTTAATTATTTTTATGGTTGTTTAAGAGATTTTTGTTTAAGTACTTTTATGGTGAAATGGTTGTTTAAGAACCAGTTTTACCAGTATAACCAGCATACGTAGTATTACCAGTTTTGCCAGTATAACCAGCATACGGCTATCATTCCAAGTTTGAGACTTGACAAATGATTCCACTTCCTTTAGCCTTGTATCCTGCCCACCAATCAAGTTYATCAATTTTTKAAARCCATCTTCCATACTTTTATTGATCTTCAACATTCCTTCTTGTAGATCTAACATGTCTTTCTTTAACTTTTCCACTTCATCATTAGACACCACCTGCAGTTCTTCCTCCACATTATCCGCCTCTTCCTCAGCACCATCTTCCTCAGCCCCCTCTTCCTCAACAGCCTCTTTCATTTGAGCATGGACATCAAGGTCGTACATGAATGGAAGAAAAACATGTTTTTTGTCAATGAAATACCTATTCTTCCAACTTTGAACAATGTAGTCATCAACATCTCGATCGTTCTCCGCCTCATCAAAGATTTCAGCACAAAGAGCTCGYTCACCAGAAGTTGGGACYAAAATWCTCTCTATRTCCTGTGATTATACAAAAAATACTGTAAGATTTTACAACACAATCATAAATAACATGAGTATTACTAACCTTAGTATTACTAACCTTAGTATTACTAACTAACAAGAGTATTACTAGTAGTATTAATAGTATTACTAACCTTAGTAATACTAACTAACAAGACCAGTATTACTAGTAATATTAATAGTAT